GGTTTTTTTTTCCTCCTTCGGGGGATGCATTCCTTGGTTTCCGGGACCCCATTCCCCGCACCGTTCAATTCCCGTTTTTTGGGCGGGGGTGCCACACGGGGGCCATGCCTGCCTGCCTGCCTGGTGGTGCCTTTGCGGGGGCCATTCCGGTTTCCGTAGTTTTTCCCTTCCCAGATGTTTTATGAAAACGGTGGGTAGGTATGGGGGGGCATTTGTTTTTCCCCGCGGGGGGGTTTATTCCTTCCCCTGTTGGGGCTTGAATTTTTCCAGTTTTATTTTTTTTTCCCCAAAAGGGGGGGGGGGGGTGGCCCCCCCCCCCCCCCCCGCCTCCCTTTTTTTTTGCCGGTTGTGTGTTTTTTAACAGTTTCAGTTTTGGCCGGGTTGGGTTTCAATAACGGGGTTGTTTTTTGTTGCCCTTGGGGGCAAGCAAGATTAAGCCCCGCAAAAGGTTTATGGGGGCCCCATGAAAACGGTGGATTCTTTCCCCCCCCCCCCCCCCAAGTTAGAACCCGGCGTGCTCTGCCCCGGTTTTGTAGGGATGCGAGGTAAATGGTCTAACGAATACGGCATGCGCGATTAGGAGTCCCCCCCCCCCCCCCCTATTATGTTTCCGGAACGACATTGAACGTTCAGCTGCGGGAAGCTGGGGGACGTGTACATTCCGCGCGACATGAGGACCGGCGAACCGAGGGGTTTTGCGTTTGTCCGATACCTGGACAAGCGCGATGCTGACTACGCCGTGGACAGGCTTGATGGCACGAGGTTCAACGGCCGCGAGCTGCGGATCCAGGTATGTGTGCTTGTACTGCTGTGCAGCCGTCGTGAAAGCTTGAAGGACTACTCCGGTGTTATTGTCAGTAAGGACTACTCCGGTGTTGTTATCAGTAATGATCTCGACCTGTCGATGAAGATTGTGGGCCATTCATTGCACGGAATGAAAATCGCGAAGCTGTTGTATGCATGTACCGGGGCGGGAGTATGTTTTCAAAGTCTGATACGAACGGCCGGTTCTGTTTTTATGCTGTAGAGATGGCCTGACTCTTTGGATCCAACCCGGCGCAAGACCTTACGAACAACAGTGCTTCTTACCCCGCGACAGGGTCTTCAGCCTTCCGTCGATCATGATTCGCGCTTGGGCGGAAGGAGCTCTTGTTGACGTTGCTACATGTGTTTTGTGAAAATGTCTGGCCGGAGTAGAATACATGTTTAGATATCTAAGCCAAGGGAAACGGCTCGCGACTGGTGTGAAGCTTTCTATCCGTGTGTTCTGTCTATCTCAGCGCCAAAACGAGAGCCGCCTTCGCTAACTCAGCTCTTCATCCGCACAGATCCCCCCGGCCACCTCCCTCCCCCATTTATTTTTTCCAGAATCCCTGGTACTGCTGCTGCCCCACCTCCTAAAGTCTTCCGTTGCACCGCCTCTGTGCCACGTCCCTGTTCTGCCGATTGGAAACGCCTTTTATCCATAGTATGCCAGGAAGCGCCGTCCTGGTGGTGGCGGTGGTGGTGGTGGGTATGGAGGCGGTGGCGGAGGTGGGTATGGAGGCGGTGGCGGAGGATACGGAGGCGGAGGATACGGCGGTGGCGGAGGATACGGCGGTGGCGGTGGCCACTACGACCGTGGCGGTGGCGGTGGCGGGCGCGACGACAGGAGGGGAGGCCGCAGCCGGTCCCCTCGCCGTAGGTCCAGGTCAGTGTTCCGTGAAAAATTGGTGACATGTATCGTATGTAGTCAACGTTTTTTTATCCTTTTTGGGGCTGTGCGTGTTTTGGTCTTTTTCTAGCCCATTCTTGGGAGGAAAGGGAAGTCCGTCGTCGGCTGCTGCTGCATGTATCCGCGTGTCGCTGCGCGTGTCTTTGGAGACGACACACGGTGAGATCGGGATAGTTGACGCAGCTCCTTTGTCCAACCAAGCGTACTGTGGGTATTGAGCAAGCCCTCTTGGCAGCCAGCACCAAAAAGACACGGAAACGAAAATAACGACCGAACCAGCTGGGGTGGCCGGCAGCTTTCGGTGGGCAAAAGCACATGATACGGGTGATCCACCCTTGGTCAGCCTTGGCGTTTCGGTTACCTACGTGCGTGCTCGGCGAACGCAAGCGTGATGTGAGAATATTGGCGTCATCTCGCCCCTGGCGCTTCCGACCGCAGGGGGGAAAAGTACATGGGGACTAGCCACACTGTAGCGATGTGCAGAAGAGCTCCATACCTCCCCCCCCACACACACTGCTGTTGCGATGTTAACGTCTGCTTTCTCCTCAACTTTGTGCCTCCTGCTTCGTGGGCTTTCATATCACACGCTTGCTCCCATATGTCCGCACACGGACGTACCCCCCTCCCCCCCCAGACCGGCATATCGCTCCGTCCCGGGATGCGAGGTCAATGTTTTAACGACTCCGGCATGCGTTTACATGAGAGTACACCCCCACCCCCGGCATGTCGCTCTGTCCCGGCATTGTAGGGATGCGAGGTCAATAGTTTAACGACTACACTGCATACCCCCCCCCCCCCCCCGGGGTTTGCCATCGGGGTTTGGGTTTTCGTCGCTTGGCAACGACGTTGTAAAACAAGCCCCCCCCTCGTTGTTTGCCATCGGGATTGGGTTTTCGTCGCTTGGCAACGACGTTGTAAAAGAAGCCAATTCACTTCGTGAACTCGGCAACCAGGTTACCGTTTTTTTTTTTTCCTCGGTTTTTTTTTTGGCGGTAACCATAATGGTGGTCGAGTAGATCATGTTGTGCGGGGTCGAGAAACCTCACTCCGCGCAAGGGGGATGATCGCACCACGTTGTGTTAAAATGGTCAAGCACCCTCGAGGCAGTTACACAGTGCTTACAACTGTCTCTGGAAGTGAAAGCACCAGAAAATAAATTAAGTCATACGTAGCTGTCATCCGTACGCAAGGAAGTAAGCACAAGATGCCGAACACCCTTAGCAGGATGCAGCTCACCCTTCATGCGGCTCGCCGAATACCTCACGGCGCTTCGCGCTTGGTGATGTGAGAGCCTGGTCCGGTGAGAACCCGGCGTGCTCCGTCCCGGCTTTGTAGGGATGCGAGGTCAATGGTCTAATGACTACGGCATGCACGACTATGAGTACACCCCCCCCCCAATGGTCAAACGACTACGGCATGCACGACTATGAGTACACCCCCCCCTCCTTCCCTATTTGAACACTCTGTCGATCGACAAGCAGGAGCAGGTCTCCCCCTTCTCGCCGCCGCCGCCGCGGCAGCCGGTCCCGTTCTCGCTCGCCGGCCTCCCCGGGGGACGACAGGAAGGAACGCAGGCGCCGCTCCCGCTCACCAAACCCGGTCGGCGGCGGCGGGAGCAGGAGCGGGAGCCGAAGCAGGGGGCACGGCGGCGGCGGGGACCGCTGGGAGGAGAGGGACGGGCGAAAGGTGGGTGCGCCTTGCTTGTTGCTGTTTGTTTGTTTGTTTGTTTTTTTGGGGGGGGGGAGGGGCGTCAATTCGTTTTGGTTTGCTCGAGAGCTAGAGCCTTCGTCGTCGCTATTCCAAAAACGTGTCGTTTGATAGATGAATCCTCTTCGTCGTGGAGGAATGGACGTTTGAAAATCGGTCCTCGGGGGTGTGGTATCTTGCGTCACGTACGGGTAGATATCGTGGGGATATCTTTGCGCGACAGCCCTCTTGCTGGCCGCGTTCGCGTGGCGCACGTTTCACGCCCCGGGCACGTCACATCTCGGGTGCGGTTTGAGGGACAGACGGGAGGAAAAACGACGGAGCGAAGAGGCTCGAGGCCGGTTGACCTCATGAAAGCTTTCGCCGAACAGCCCAAGAATCGTCAGCGGTCTCTACCCGTACTAAAGTACTATAGCACTGCCTGTGTTGGATTGATTTCGACTTCTACTCGAGCACTCTCGTGCACCGACTTTCTTGAAGACGAGGGTTAAACTTGGAAGGCGTGGCTTTCGACACGTATAGATTTGTCGTTGTCCCCTACCCCCCTTGCTTTCTGCCCTCCTAACCGCGTGCTCTTTTGCCTCCGCAACAAACGCCGTGTATCAACACAGAGCCCCAGGGACGACAATGGTGGCCGCGGCGGCGGCAGTAGGGGCGACGCAGACAGGTATGGCGGCGAGAGGCGCGGCAGCGGCGGCGGCGGCGAAGCCCCCAAGCACGGCGGCGCAGACTAACCCGGCCCTTCAACTCAACAGCCCGGCCCAGCGCGTGAACAGCTGCATCCGTGACATGTGACGAGGGTATACAACAAGGTGGCTTCAACAACAACAGCAGTAGTGGTGCAGCCAGGAGCCACGTCGGGAAGAGCTGCAGTGCTGCAGTGCACCACGTACGTTACGCCGGAGTGGTTTCTTGGGGAGCTTCAAGTAGTTCGACCCAAAGAGTGCGAGAGCGACTATTCTAGTAGCCCGTCTCAGTTGTTCGTGTTTTTTGCTAATACCGGCTTACGTACGTCCTCTACGCTTGGAACCTGAGTTGCGTTTGTTTCCCACGCCATTGCGAAGGAGATTTTGTTTTACTCGCGTTTCTTGGTTGTCGATTTCTCTTGTGGAGTGCTAGGTGTTGAACACGGCGGTTTAGAAAACACGTCCCCCATGTTTTGGCCAGAAAAAAAATGGCACGCAGTTTTCTGATTGGTGAAAAATAACTTTCGGCGCCACAGACGGCGTGCCGCCATTCTTTGGCCAAGTAGTCTGGAGAGAAAACGATGCACAGACAGAAGTAGGCGTCTTTATTTTGTGCTCTCCCAAGTTGTCGGAGGTTTTTTAGAGCGGGGGTGGGTAGGGTATGGTCATGCAGAGCGTGAAATATGAAGGCTTTGGAGCACTTTTTGGGTGAGCCATTCAAATAAGCAAGCAGGTGAGGCGGCTACAGGCTTTCTTGAAATGGGTCGCCGAGAGGGGTACGCAGGGAGATGGGGGTGTTATTTTTTCCCGCAAGGTGAGTTCGAGGACTGGTATTGGTGCGGAACATGTTTCGAACGTCCAGACGTACCAACAAAGAGCGCACCTCGGCTATTGCAGCCGATGGCATGTGTCTGTCGTCCATGAAGCGTTGTGCAGATCGCGTCTTTGCGTTTTAGGGCGGAACAAGCCGGGTTGAGCGCTCGGATTTCGACCAATCAGAATCCCGGGACAATCAGAACACGCCGAGGGCTTAAGATGACATCGCAACGGGAAAATTATGGGTGAAACCCTTCGGAACTTGGTCCACGCTACCATCACAGCAAGGGCATTTGATTGGCTAGGGAAACAACGCGTCCCACAAGCAGTATAGCATTCGTACGCACACAAGGGTGCGCCAGTTATCCATGCAAAATTGGAAGAAATGTTGAGACCGTCGATGACAAAAAACGTACGAGGCCAAAGTGGCCAAAGTGTTGTTTAGAACGTTGGCTGCGAGGGCGGGGAACGAAGAGATGGAGCGGACGACGGCATCCTGGATCTCCACATGTCTGGGTGCTGTTACTTGAGAACGAAAACGGTGGCGTCGTGTTGAGTTGGATCTCCTCCTAGACATGGCGATGATGTATTGTATCTCCGTGTCATTCTCGGGCCTACACTTGTACAATGTTCCAGAGAAGCCCTGCTGATCTCTTCGCCCCCTCTCTTCTCATCCGACACTACCACCTACCTTGAGGTAGGCATGCTTACAGAGGGAGCCGTTTGGACCGACTTGTGGGGTAGTCTGATAACCCAGGTTTCGTCAACGGTGGTTCCGTTATTCTGTTACATCGAGTACACTGTCTTGCAGGAAGTGATGAGCTTGCCACTAATTAGTCGCGTTTACCTTCCTTTTCATGACTTAAGTTTCATGTTTTGCCATTAAAGTCTGCACGTTCGATGGCGGATAGCCGAATAAAACCATCACCGAGAAACGAAGTAGCATCCAATACCACAAGATGCTGCTTTCGTTGAATAAACCCGACGGGGGATGTATTTTTTGAGCCGCGTTCATTTCCGCACCAGGCAGGAGAGCGCCGTAACTCTGAACGAAAGCTTACGTGAGATCCAGCAAAATATGGTCTTGTTGGTCATTGCGCCATGCATGTGTGGTACGAAGACCAACATTTCCGCCGATGAGCTGAGAGCTTGAACCCCGAGGTCGGAGTGGTTTTCATCGGCATCAGTATACTTGGTGTCTTGTCGAGTACCCCAAGAACAACACACAAAACACCAGTAATAGTCCTATCCATCGACAACTGGCTCATGGGGTTTCATGTACAAACTCCGCGCGCCTGTGGTTGGTTCGATTACTGTGGGACGAAAGAGAAAAAACAAAAAACTGTGAACCGTTCGAAACAGGAACATTACCCAGGGTTCCACATGCAGTAGCAAAACTGCGATGCGACGGAGTGAACTGCCCCTGAAAAGAAAAGGAGCCAAAAAAACGAGACACGTGTTTTTTGCCCTGCATATATATGCACAATGACAAAAAATCGAACAAAACTCGAGACTTACAACTCAACACGAAACCGTTTCTCGTTCCCCTTATATTCGTAGTTGAAAATTCCGAGGTTCGGGCGAGAAAAACTCAAACCAAAAGAGGAGAAAAATCAACGCCGCGCGCACTCGCCGCGCACTCGCGCCAACCCTTCCCAACCACTCCGCGCGCCCCCATCCCCTGCTTTTTGACGGCGCGCTGTGTTTGGTGCAGAACTCGATGGTGAAAAAAAAACAAAAAAGTATGCATACAATACAAGATTAGCTCACGAACCAGAGATGGAGATGGTCCAATCGAGACCTGCGCGTGCACTCACGACTACACTCAACCAACAAACCATTTCACTTTTAGTATATTATAACAGGGCATCGATCCGACTACTCTGACCACACGTGGACGTTAAGCTCGTGTTCTGACCACGCCCATTCCCAACAATCCCGCTTCTACTTGAATTGTTCTCGATGCCTTGTGTCGCCGCGAAAACTCTTCCCCCTCCCCTCAAAGAGGACCGCGTCAACAATCAAAGGCGAAGAAGTAAGTTTCACTAGAGAGATGTTCCCTTCTCTCGTGCCTCCATGCTGAAGCTTTTCCCACACCTCTCGAAAACAAAATCGCGTCAACAACAACACTCGAAAAAAAGAACAGGAACTCGTATGTTCTCCACAAAAACACACTATGTGTCTCTACT